AGCAAACACAATATACACGTACACCAAGCACTGTTAAACATGAGAAAGTACCGGTGAACAGAGAGAAGAGCAATACACACCTTCTCTTTACCAAAGCTACAACGCCACTGCCGCTTGCAGCCGCTCAGCTCCAGACGTCACCTAAAACCGCCCCGATATCACGATATTTTGCACATGCGCGGTATTGGTGCGGCTTTAGGTGACGTCTCTCAGCTCCCGGTTAACCTCTCGTCCTGGAAAGTCGGACAAACCCGAGAAATACATCACAGTAAATAAAATGGAAATAATTTAATGTTCCTTGGGCGGCCCGGTACCATTTGATCCACGGACCAGTACCGGTCCCGCGGCCCGGGGGTTGGGGACCACTGCTATAGGGGATGAATGGGATGGTATTAGTCTGCATTTCTGTATCATGTATTGCTGGGATTCGTGTCCGCTATAGCTGATGGTATTCTGCCGTGCTGTATAATGTAGCACCTGGGATTTGTAGTCCTCTATAGCTGGTGCCATCCTGCATTGCTTAAAGCCTGAAGACCCCCCAGAAGGGCACTTGGATGAATGTTCATAACTAAGAAATTGGAGGGGGGGGCGAAAAATTTAGTTCTGCCCCGGGCGGCTTTAGCTCTGGTTACGCCACTGTAGAGGATTCCTGTTCATTTATAACAGGGGCTGCAGAAAAAGAGATTTAGGACTCTGTCTCCTCAATCTCCTTTTCCATTTTAAAAGAGAAATAGCAGGGGTCTGTTTAGACCTGATTTTCCCCAGAGCCCCCGACAGTAAAGTAAAAATAGAAATAAAAAACAAAAAGGTTAAAAATAATGGTCTAAGAGGTTAAAACTGTTGCAATTGCTATGATAAATTCCCCCCAATATCTTTTGTTTTCATGTACCCATTTATACCACAATGCACGTGTGATATGCGGTGCAGTAAATGCTGACATGCTGTATTTTTTTCACTGCACTGGGCTGCAGCGCTGAATGGAGTGTATCTTTTTTTTTTTAACTCCATATAAAGCAAAAGAAAAAACAAAACACTGTGATGGGCTGAAACAGTGCATCACAGTGCGCAGTGCTGGACCTCTTAAACCACACTAGCCCGTCTGCTAAAAAGGAGTCATAGGGAAAGGGGAAGGTAAGGGGAAAACCTGGAGAGAAAGAAAAAGGGGGAAGGAGAGAAAGGGGAGGAGTGGGTGAGCCCTGGGGGGGAAGCCTTTAGGATGACTGTTGATTGTAAAGGATCCAGGGTTGCTATGAGTATCTACTAATATTGCACTCAGCTGTATCGGCAGAGGCAGCGGGGACACAGACCGCTGCAGCTGGAACCTGCGGGGAGGAAAGACCGCTGTGCCTCTGCATTACCTCACTGATGCCCCCGTTCCTCCGCTGCTCCCCCGTGCCCTCTTCTGCCAGTGGTAGAAAGCCAGCATCAAAACTCCCTTCAGCGGCTGGGAGCAATATCCAGCCTGCTATTGGCTATTTTAAATTGGAGTAGCCAATAGCAGGCTGGCTATTGCACCCACACACTGCCTGCTGTCAATCAGCAGAGGGGGGCCTGAAGGAGAACTTTCTCCTTCAGTACCCTCCTCTGCTGATTGACAGCAGGCGGGTGCAATAGCCAGCATGCTATTGGCTATTGCAATTTTAAATAGCCAGTAGCAGGCTGGCTATTGCTCCCAGCCGGTGCCTGCTATGTTGACATTCAGCTGCCACAGCAGGCAGCTGTCATTCCCCAGTGAAATGAAAAGATGACACTAGGTGTCCCCTAATGTCACCTTAAAGAGAACCTGTCACCTCCAATGAGCGATCACATAGGGGGCTTGTCAGCTCCACCATGTGATAGCAATGAGTTTAAAAAAGTAAAAAAAAAAAAAAATGAAATTAAAAATACCCCCCAAAAAATGTAAAGTCCCCCAACCCTGCAAGCGCACGTATACTAAAGGAAACACAAGTTGGGTTCACCTTCAGGGAAAACGACGATTTGGCTAGACATTAGGTAATCGCCACGTGTGCTGGAGTGAGAGCAATAATTCTTGGACCAATATTCATGGCTAACTATTCATGGCTAACTCTAAACGGATGATTGGGCTTTTATAATAAATATATACATGTGTATATATATAGCTATATAAAAGGTGACAATCGTCATTTTTGGTTCCGGCCTGAAAATTATGCTGCGGAATGTGCATTGTGGTGTCATTAATCTCAATGGCATCCCAAACGCGCCTCCCGGTCGCAGTGTGATCACCTGCCCACAATACTGCGATGCCATGCGTTCCAGTGTGGTGCAAGTACAAAAAAATGTGCATACTGTTTCATTGTGAGGTAAACTTTGTTTCCAAAACTCCATTTGTGTATTTCATTTTAAATAAAAGATGTTTTTTTTTTATACGATTAATCGGAAAAATAATCGGCCAACTAATTGATCAGAAAATAATTGTTAATTGCAGCCCTACTTTGTGTGGGTTTTTGGGAAGATTCATTTAATAAGGTTATAAACCCGTACCAAACGTCTGGTCACCATCAGGCAAGCACATCAATTGTGTTCTAGTGTGCTGGGTTGAAAGCAGCCTTGGAGGCAGATAGTGCGGTATGTGGGGATGAAACATGTCAGCCTCAAAATGATAATACCATGGATATAAAACTTTATAGGCGTTTTCTAGAATCAAAATGTTTCTTGAACTCCTGGCAGTGGCCTGGTTGATCTCCCGCCAATCCTTAGGAGATAGGGAACAGTTTAGTTTAATTATCCAATGCATTTGATAGGTCATAGTGGTCATTTGCTTGAAAGACATGAAGAGTAGATCAAATTTATCTTTTTCATTTGGTTTTTCAAACATAGAAGATAGACATACAAATAATAGGATACTTTAAAGGCTGATATGGGTATACAACAAAAAAAACAAGGAATGGACATTGACTTTTAACTGGACTTTAACAAAATTAGCTGTAACCATAAAATAACCTACAAATAGGATAGCGCAAGCTCAAAATTCAGCCCCCCGGCGAGGCATTTACTTTCAAAAAGGGGTTAGCATATAAGGTAGGAGTGAACATGGGAGTGTAAAGTTTTTGAAAATTTTGAAGCATTTACTTTTGTGTGCTAGTGTTCTTTTGAACTTTTATGTACTGGCTCATTTACATTTAGGCTCATTTCACAAAGCTAGAATGCTCCTTTATTTCATGTAATTTTCAGCTCTCATTCACTGCTGAAAAGAAAAGATTTATAGTAATGACTAAGTGAACTGAGCAATGTTATATAGCCACATTTCTGTTGTGTTTTGTGCCATTTATTGTTTTCTACAGTGGTTCTCAACCTGGTTAACCTCAGGACCCACATTTGTCCTTGGTCATTAAGTTGCGACCCAAGTCGCACTGCAATAGAATGCACGGCACCACAGCAACTGTGGGTGGGAAGTGCGTTTGGGGTACCATTCAAATGAATGGCAACGCAACACACCTCCCACACCAGAATGCACAGTAGGTGCGATTGTGTGGTACAGGGCGTTAATCTCACAAGACTGTGCTATTAACGCACTGTACTGGTGTGAACGGGCCCTCAAAAACACCAACATACATACACAATCTCAGACATTCTCAGACACACTCACCTTTTTGTTTTTTTTGTTTAAGATCCCTCCAGTCTCCCTACCTTACAAGAACTGGAGTGGATCATCAGCCTGGGGTCCAGTGTGGGCTGCTGTGCAGTGACAGAGCTCCATCCATATGTGCTTTGCTTGTACAGCTCCCTTTCGCGCCCTGTAGGCTCGACGGGAGGCAGAATGTGATGTCACTCCGGTCCAGGCACCTCTACAGGACATGTGAGGGAGCTGTAAGTAATGCATGTATGGATGCAGCTCCCTTGCGGCCATACCCCCAGCCCACCCCACCTCAAGCTGACACTCAGCGCCGGGCAGCATATTTTGAATGGCTCCTTGGCGGGAAGACTGACAGTGCTACACTAGGAGGAGGCTGAGGAGCCTCTTACCTAGAAAAGTAGAAGGCATGTGGCGATCCACCAGTTGAAAACCAAGGGTATACTACAATCATCAAATAAAAACTATAAAACATGAAGTTTAATCTGTTTATTAATGACAATAGGAAAACATTTTTTGTTAACAGGCTTCATCATCACAAGTTCAATTTGTAACAGTCTTATTGACTGGACAGCTTCATTGACATTTAGCAGATGGATGATTAAAGACATAAAAGTAAAGCTAAAGAGCTTTCACATTACTTTGCTATAATGCAAGGCATGTTGTAAGACATTTCTGCAAAAAGGCACTTACAAAACGAATAGGAATGTTGTTTTTAACTTATGATAATTCTATGCCATAAACCTTGGCAGCCCAGGGCTGTATGTCCCCAAATGCTTTTAATCTAGTGGTATGCAATTTTTTAAAGGGTGAATTCACCCCAAAATATATCTATATTTTTTTGTTAGATGGCAATAAATTTACGCACAACCCAAGTTCATTTATGTCTCTGGGACCCCAGGGGTGAGAGCTTTATAATTTGGTCCTGTATTCTGCATCCCCAACACCACTTTTCATCCTGCAGCAGCAAGGGGATCATGTCTGCTCATAGATATAGAATAAATGAAAAAGCCAACACAGACAACTAAGACTCATTCATACAAGCTAGCAAGCGGAGCAGAATTACCATCATCTTAGACCCAAGAACAAAACCAAGACATTTGTTAATTTAGCAGTAACAAAGACAACAATTTTGGGTGGACTGACCATTTAAGTCATGTATTAAAGTCTGAGCCCTATTGCAACCTTGTTTGTAACTTTCCAGCTGCCATTTTCCAGAGGTTGCTAAGACAAGACACACAGTTCCTGTTTTAGACACACTGATAAAATCAGGCAAAGTGTGTTTTTTTCATGGGCCCCAACTGCTAAAGTGCATTATATGGGACCCCAAAAATCTTGGGCCAATAAAAAACAAATAAAACGAAGGGCATATAAGACTATTTAAAAAGCTGATTCTGTAATGCCCCTTGGGGTCACAGCCCATAGGCTGCACACCCTTGCTCTAATGGTAGGATACTGTTGACATGGAAACTATGCCAAAAGACAGCCCTCCCTGTAATGAAGATGTGTGTCATTAGTAAAAAACACAACACAAGTTACCACAAACGCAAGACAAAACTTTTCAGTAGCAAACCTCCCCTTCTTATTTACATAATACCCAATGTACCTACTATAGTTAGTTGCAGTTTTCCAGTTTGGTATAGCAGTGCCTGCTATGTATTAAGAACAATACAGTTGCATGGGTCAAACAGTGCAAAATGAGTTAACACATGGACAGGAGGCAGGAACAGTAGATTTGAGTTGTCTATTTTCCTTTATATTTAAAAAAAAAAGAACTGTACACTGATAAACCGTACATCTGTACTATGATTCTGTCTTTTGTGCAGCAATTCAGAGCTCAGTGTCCCTGTATTTAGTGGGTTGAGAATAAAATCCACGTTTTGATTGGTCAGCCAACTGTTGGCGATAGTCCTCTTCTTCGTCATCGCTTCCCCTATTGTCCAAATAGGACCAGCCTGGTGGTTTTTGAGGTTCTGGGTGCCTGGAACTTAAAAATTGAAAAACAACAAAATTAGAATCATATAATTTTAAAACTTACACCTAGACACCCACACTCAGTAAACCAGTTCCAAGACTGTGCTGTCACCGTCTATCATACTAATGATTCGGAAACCAAACAGTATGGTGCAATGGCAGCTGTTGGCCTCAGCGGTCACTATGCCTTGCACAGGCAGCAGCTGTCACAATGCAAAAAGTTTAATTGTAAACTGTCATGTATAAAATAACCATGTTGTTTGTTCCTTTGTCAGCTTATAATAAAAACATCAGCAGGGTATTTATTTAAAGAGTGTACCAAATAAAACCCCAATATGTCCTTAAAAAAACAAAATGAAAAAGCCTGTATCAATGTCTTTTGGGCGTGTGTCAATTGAATCAGATTGAGACACTTCGGAGATCATTCAGAATTCATTGGCAGGTGCATTTCACCTGCAGTTGACCTCCTCCTGCGTGCAATCAAGCTGCTTCAAGTGGGTTTTTCAACCCCATTTGAAAAGTACTACATTTTGTCTGGGCATCTAGGCCTTAATGACCTCTGGTGATTAAAGGGTTAAGCAGAAGCAAGCCCCTTTGTCCCCTTGTGTTGGTGGCTTGCTGGAAAAGTCCTTCTGTGAGTCATAAATTGCATCCATTGACTCATTTAACTGCACCAAGAACAAATTAGGAAAGAGAAGGTCATGTCTAACACACACACTTTCATAAAAGACAAGAGTGAATGGTACATAAGGAAGAAGGCCAACGGCTGGAACAAGTAAGCAGGTATTTATATGCAGTAAACTCTGAAAAGACTGAACTAAGATCCCAAAACCGGTTCTTTTAAAACCAAGCCAGCAATGGCATCTCCCATATTTCCGGCCTTACAGGCTCACTTTAAAGTGAAGCAAGTCTTTGTATGTTCTTCCCATGTTTGTGCAGGTTTTCTCCAGGCACTCCAGTTTCTTTACACAACCTAAAAACATGCTGTAACAGTAAGAAGCTTCTGACAAAACTGGTGTGCGTGTGCATTAAAGTGCTTGCATCTCTCAAGCAGGACTGACATGAAAAGGTGAACATCGATTCTGTAAAGCGCTGCAGAATATATAGGAGGTAAAAAAAAAGAAGAAAAAAAAAAAGAAGACTGCCTTATTTAAAACAAAATCTGAAAAATATAAAAATTATTATCATACCCTGCTACCTGGGATCGATTCTGGTCATTTTTCTGTGGTTTTATAGGTACCGCATAAATGTCAGGAAGTTTCTGTGCCAGCTCCAACTTTAAAATCAAAAACAGGAAGAAAAAAAAAAAGAGAGACAGTTTAGAGGAATATAAAGGGTTTGGAAATATTAAAAGACCCTTAAAATATTCTAAGTGAAGAATAAACAGAAAACTGAACAGCAGGGTAATCATAGTTCAATAAAAACAACAACTAAATTAAAAATGAAATAGAAACCGAAAAATGTTCTACTGGTTGCTATGGGTAACACAGCTTATTTAAGAAAGCTCCTCCATCAAGTACCTTGGTGAGAGAGGATCAGTCTTATTCCTTGCTGAATAAATGATTTATATAATATTTCATGTACTAGCCATGCAGTTAAATCATACTGGATGAGAACAAATGTAATTTAATTTGTAGGACTCTCCGACATCGTTTTTAAAACCTGGTAAGTGCAGCTACTCTCAGACTCAAAAAGGCATTTAATGGGGATGAGGCTGCTAATGGGAATGTGCCTCAAAAGGAAATAACCTATGTATCCTATTGCTGTGCTTGCAGGGATATACATAATGTTTGTGCAGACTGTGTAGCTGCACAGAAGCCCTTCGGGACATTAGGGTACATATATATATATATATATATATATATATACATACATACATACATACATATATATATGATGTGGTTCAGATGAGAGCTGGATGCCCATTCACGGTCATGTAGACCTGGACATACAGTGAATGTGTCTTCACTTGGCTGGTAGTTGACTGGGGGACCAAAAATGTGCCTCACACAGGGGCCTTTAGATGACTCTGTCCACCGCTCTTTGCTTAGATAAGACTTTTAATAACACCAGTCATTACTGGGACAAGTAAGAGGCTCCCTACATACAGAACAAGTGTGTGCTGCAATGTCACAGGAGGCACAGGACATTGCATAATTACAGACTCATGTGTGATCACACACCTAACCCAAATAGACTGTTGATACATCAGGTAGTCACAGTTGAGAAATGGCATGTGTGTGTGGCCCACTTAATTTTGATTTGTTATATTCCTTCAAAAATAAATAGTCTTGGTTGATGGTGGTGATAAAAAACAAACAATCTCAGCAGTTGATATACTGAAAAAAATAAATGTTGTGGTCATTCATTCTTACCCGTGCATTTTGTGCTTCATGTAACTCTTGTATCCTTTGTTGTCTTGCACTGAGGTCCATCTTCTCAAAAATTTTCACTTTCCCTAACACAGACTTGGGGGCCTTTAGCTCTTCATGTACTGGGTCCTCGTTATTTCCAACGGGAGGGTTAACACTGACAGTAGGCTTTATTATGGGTTTGGTAGCAAACACAGGTTTAGCAGCAGTGGGAGGTGGAACAGCCTTGCCAGATCCTGCTGAGGCTTCACTCCTGACTACACTGGAACTACTCCGTTTAGCATCAGAACTACGAGGCGAGTCATACAGCTCATCTTTACTTTGGGGTTTAACCTGCAGAGAACATAAAACATTTGCTTTAAGACAACTACTGCAGATTACAATATAAAACATTTAGCTCTGGGATTCCTTTCCACAATTGATATAAAGTTTGACTTCTAATTTGGGTATACCTAAAATTCAGTCAGTCATTCCAAACCTGTACAAGCAGCGAGGACAACATGCAGATATTTGAAGAGAGAATATGGACAACACAATGGCAGGAATACAATTATAAACATTTTGTTAGATATAGTAACAGTGCATACCTTGGGAGGATCTGGTTTAAATGATGGTGGTGGACTGGGCTCTCGTAGCACCTCTTTGCTGATTGCCCCTTTCAGCTGACTCCTAGGCTCTTGAACTGGTTTTACTGTAATCTAGAAAATATGAACAAAGGAAACATCTCAAACTGACTATTGGCAATAAATAGAGAGACGGATAACAACTTCCATCACAGAGTCTTCTGCACAGTATTCTCAACAGTTTTAAGCCAGCCTTACTATTTCATATTTAGCTCATCTAGACTTCACATCTGCTTTAAAGCATCTTGGTTAACAACATGAATCTGCACTGATGGCGGTTATTGGCTGCAATTGCAGTCTGAAATGTTAATAATGTGCAGTGGAAATATGTGAGATAACAACGTGAAATGCTTTCTATTACATTACTATCCCCAGAGATACACTGTTAGTGATGTAACTGCTTTAAATTTACCTCTTCAGGGCGGACAGGTTCAGAAGATCTACTAATGGCAGAGACCGGTACCGGATCATCAACAAGTTCGTCAAGCTCATTGTCTGTATATGCTCCTCCTTCACCATCTGTGTCTTCAAAGTCACTGTTTAATCGGCTATCACAACTCAAGTAGTCTGCTCCCATTGCAGTCAGGTAGGACATGCGATCTTCATCCTCATCTATTCCATCGTTCTATTTTTTAATTAGACATTTCAAGAGACAAAATTAGTTACCAATCCTAACTATAAAATAGCACCCATAACCAAATAAAACGCAAGAAAAACTATACTTAACATATCTACAAATGAAAATATCCAATAAGACAGATAAAGAATTGCATGTAAGCTGTAGAAAATAAAAGGTTCAGGTAGGGAAGGGTTAAATGCCCTATCAGCCTATTCTTTGCCACCTGTGTCCTGTTGGGGTATTTTATTTCCTGTGCCAGAGATAAAACAGGAGTCTCCTCAGGTGAGGGGAATTTTCGCTATTTTACAGTTGTCACTATTATTATTATACAGGATTTTTATAGCGCCAACAGTTTGCGCAGCGCTTTACAGGGTTACATTACAATTCAAGACAAGATGGTAAGAAGTCACCGATCTGAGGAGCCTGCGGTGCCGCAGCTCTCTCACGCTGCCGAGAGGGACTCGGGAGAGCTCCCGCTGGCCAGAGGACGTAACGAGGGAGGTGTGGCCGTGAGGTGGCTGAGGCGGGTCCCAAGGTCGAGTGACGAGTCCAGCATAGGCAACCTGAGCTGATCCCTGACGAGAATCGGATCTGACACAGAGGACAGAGAGGAAGAGCTGCAGCCTTCAGGTACTATGCTGTGACAATGACAGTCAGTCAGTAAATCACTCCCCTTCTTTTCCATCACTTCTGTACTGTAGAATACTCTATTATTTAAATTATAATCAAAATTATGTGGGGGGATGCTCAATGGGGACTGTATGGACTCAATACTGTTCCCATTGAGCATCCCCCCCACATAATTTTTACTATAATTTAAATAATAGAGATAAAAATATTTTTTAAAACATCTCTAATTGATGATGTTCCTAACCCCCTCCAATATCTCCCCCCCACCTGCAAACTACCCCACCTACATCCTTAAGGGCCCAGTCACACCATAAGGAGTGCGTTCAGCCTCTGGAACGCACTGGAACACAACCTGGCCGGCTCACTTTGTTTTGGAGTGGGAGGGGGCGTGGCAGTGCATTGAAGTCAATGGCACCACAGCCATGCCCCCCACCCACAGTGCGATAGCCGTCACCCGAATGCATGGCACATCAGTGCCTGCGTTCTGGTCCAGTGCGATCTGCCAAAATGCTACATGCACTACTTTTTTGCAGATCCCATCGCACTGTGGGTGGGGCGCATGGCTGCGGTGCCATTGACTTCAATGCGCAGCCACCACCCCCTCCCCCCCAAAACACAGTGAGCTATAAACCCACGCGTCAAGATGCGAAGGCCATTTGGTTTTACGCTCGAGCCAATTGGCTGACGATGCAGTCCTTCATCTGGCCACGCTCAGCTCATGTAGTTGCATGTAGTGTGTCACAGTAGATTTCTCTCTGTGTCCTTGTTGTAGGTTTACTAGAAAAAGATGGTAACCGCATACATTTATAACCAGCCTTTGTAGCAGGATGCACCTGGGAAGGCTTACAATACAAAACACAAAAAAGTATTGTTGTAAGCTTTCCCATGTGCACCCTGCTGCAAAGGCTGGTTATAAATGTATGCGGTTACCATCTTTTTCTAGTTTGACTATCTTGGATTTGGGGGCGGACTGGGGGTCCCAGCGTTTATTTTTGGTTGCTGGGCCTCCAGTGCGTCCCTGCACCTTTTGAGGAGGAGTAGGCTACCACCTGGTACAGCTGCATTTAATTTATCAACTGCATTAATATGCTCCCACTTGAAGACTCATATAAAGAGTTAGGACCACACTTTACAGAGGTGCCTTGACGGGGCGGTGTGGCTTCTACATAATTTTGTCCAAAGGTTTGTGCAACTAAAACCTCTGATTTTAACGCATACTGTTAGACAGGGTAATTTGTTTTGTTGCAGGCTAGCTGGCAGGTGTGCTTGGGACTTTGTGTTTTGTCTTGATGTAGGTTTGTCTTAATTTTCTTTCTGGTGAAACTGTTGTCAGAAGAACCGGGTAATCCTTCCCCAAGCTATCCAAAACTAGAAAAAAAAAGTTTTTGGCTTGATATGCAGTTTACATAGTCAAGGCTCATGAAATTAAGTCCCCAGCTCTAACTTGGTGTTTGCACTGGCTGACTAACTTACCACCTTGCAAATAGTTAAAACACGACAGTTACCTTTCCTTCGGACACCCAGACTGCCTCTGTCTGCTGAGCTTTAATCACATCCTTCAGACTTCCGAACCAGCTGTCATTGGACGAATTTAAGTTAATAGTAGCTGTAGGGTAAAAGAATCAATAACAAAACATTAGTTCTAAGCAAAGAAATAGAAGTTAACTCAAACGAGATATTAAAAATCATACAGCTTGTTTGCACATTTTTGTTTTTTTCTGTCCCTGCCTAACGCCAACTATAGTTTATGAGACAAGAATTCCATTTATCACCACCTTTACTGTCTCCTTCATGAGTTTGATCACCCATTCAGGCAGCACTGACATTACAGAATGCTCTAATGGCATGGATTGAAGCTGATCTTCATATATTTTAACCCTTTCACTGCCAATCCTTTCGGAACGCTTTACACCTAATTTTTGCAATTTTCCCCATTGTTTTGATTGTCTACTACTGCATTGCCAGCGTTTGTAAAAGACTCTCCAAACCATATACCTGGTAGAATAAAAAGACGGTGCTACTAATTTTGTAGGTGATAATGCGATAATTGCGAAAATGTTTGTCAAATCAATATTAAACCGATAGAAATAAAAAAGGAAATTGAGAGTCCTCAGTACAGAGGCTTCCCATTCATTGAGAAACTGTTGATGGTAAATGTTTTACTATCAAACAGTTGTGTTCCGCCGTAACCCTTATTTTGTTGGCAGGGAAAGGGTTAAACGCAAACAGACTTTTTCAGGCACATTAAAAAAGCAGTGATACATAAATACACATTAGGCTCAATTAACATAGCGACAGCATGCGTTATTTGCCATAATGTCTGTTTATTTTAGTCATTGCCATTTTAAGCTCCTATTGCTGAAAACAACAGGAATTACAGCAATTATGAAATGTTATAGAAAATTGTGCCTAATGTGCAGCAACCCATAACAACCATATTTCATTTTACCAGTGTCGCATGACTCAAATTTATTTTACAGACACTCATTTTATGGCTCACAACTGGTGGTTCCCAAGGGTATTCATAAAAATGTCATCAAATTGATAAACTGTCAACTAACATGCATGCTTTGAGAAAAAAAACCATAGCATTTAAATGTCATTAGAATGTTAAAAAATGTATTTACCTGTAATTAGATAACTACAGGTCTTCTTAAGTTTATTTGCTTGCTCATAAAGTTTCCGAGAGCTTTTGTTTGATTGTGGACACAGTCTCTGTCTCATGGTTTTCACTCCTTGCTTACTGTCTGGGTTGAACAACACAACTATAGGGAACCACTGTGTGTAGTTAAGCAGGTCCACGGCTTTTGGTGTAACGTCCATGAGAGCATGCTTGTTCTTAAAAAAACAACCAAGGGCGGATATCAAAATTTTATTAAATTCAAACAGCTGCAAAACGCAACACAGACCCTGGGAATCAGAATTCTGTTCCTTAAATGAGCACACCAAGAACCAATAATAGTTGCAACTGCATAAGAATGCCAGTGAGTGAGCTGATTTTGGCAGATGAGGGTAATTTGAGCTGGACTTGACAACATCCTGCTGCCATACATGTCACTGCATAAAGGCTGTGACACTGCACGCAAAGCAGTGCGGAGCGTTGGCACGCTGTCTTTGCGAGCAGTGTGTCATGTAATCTTCTACTCGGCACGTCAGCTTGCGAGCGCTCGCGTAGCTGAGCGTGCAGAGATGAAAAATGTCATCTTCAGCCAATCGGCACGCACGTATAAACCCGCTCGTCAGCATGCGACATCTGGCTGGTTGTTACGCACGAGCCGATTCGCTGAAGGTGCAGTCAATCATCTGACTGCACTCAACTCACACACTGCACACAAAGCTCCGTGCTGGAGCTGGACAGCTTTGCTTCCCTCTGCACGGCTTTGCGTGCAGTGTGTCATGGGATTAGTGGAAGTTCATTGGATGGAAAGGACTCTCTAAGCCCTGTAACTGTTGGAGAGAGCCAAGATCAGAGACAAGTATAACATCTCTTTCTTTCCAGTTTCAGATGGATGTCAATCTGATTCCATCAAATCAAGCCCAAAACCCATTGACACAGGCCCAAAAGCATTAAGGTAGGACAGACATACCCAATATTAATGTCTCTTTTTGATCCAAAGCGATTTCAGTATAGTTTCATGTGTACGTGTAGCACATCTATCGGTGTTACATTTTTCCTTAGGGACTATTTTTTACATAAAATTTCATACAAAATTTCTGCATAAAGAACCGCAGTGTCATGCAGTCATCATAGATGAACATTTTAAAAGTCTTACCAGAAAGATAAAAGAAGAAGAAGTCTATAATCCTGTGTATTACAGATGGAATAGATTACTAGCAAGACATATTGTATCAATAATAAGCCTTTATTTGATTAAATCAGGGATACGTCCATGTAAGGGAGAGGCCCACTTTACAGAGATAAACGATCAAGTCACTATAAGCCACACTGCAAAAGTTCATTAAACAAAAATGATTTGTAAAACCTACTTGTTCAATGATCTGTCGAACAGTATTCAGCCTCACTACTCCACTCGGCTTGTCCGAGCCAGCATCCTTTGGCTCGGTCTCTGGAAGAGAAAAATAAAAGGGATAGACAGATTATTTACTTCCAGATAAGACAAGTGTAAGACAAAGTGCGAATGACAGCAGCAAATTTACTCACTTGCTATTTGAAACAAATCGGGCATATCATTTGCCATTTTTTCCATCGCTACATCAGCAATTGGGCCAAACAACACAACGGGTCTTTTAAAGCCAGCTGTAAAGAGAAAACGACGCACATAAACATGAAGAGCTTAGTGAGTAGCTCCAACATTGAGTACATTTTCAAATGCAATATGAATATACTTGTTTTCATCATAAATTTGACAATTTTTGCCCTTCATCTTTTATCCCTGAAAAAGTGCTTTTGGTAGATGCATAAGTAATATTTTTAATAGGAAGTGTTTCCCTTTAGGCTGAGATTTTAAAGAAGAACCCTGGGCAGAAATGTTATTAACCCTTGCTGTGGGGATCCCTCATTTTTGTCTAGGGTCAAAAAAATAAATAAAATCATACCCGAATCGCCAAGCTGGCTACCTGCTTCAGCCGATCCTCTGAGCCAGCAGCGATGCCATGACTGCTCAGTATTGCACAAGTACAATACATCAAGTTCATTTGACTATATAAAAACAGGAGTCTCAAACTCCTCATTTGACTCGGGGCCACCCGACAACTTTTTTTCTCCCATGGGGGCCGGCTTGCCAAATTTCATACATCAAAATAACATGTAACTATATCCGGTATGGTACTACAGACACTAATGCACACACAATACGGCCCCATTCATATCTGTAAGTTTAGGTGCAATTAGGGATTCCTGCGTCAGGAACTTGCGTTTTCCTGCAGCAGGAATGCCTAATTTGGTGTATACAAGTGGCAGCTGTCACCTGTTCAAGGTAATGATCAGGTGATAGCCGCTGCATGTAAACATCTGCATACCGCATGTAATTGTACGTGATATGATTACATGCGGTTAGAAAACACTCTCCCTGGGTTGCACAAATCGATGCATCTAGGGAGAGTGACTGATTCCTAACCAAATGTAATCATATCACATATCTTTAGATGCGGTATGCAGTTTACATGCAGCTGCTGTCATCTGATCATTAACCTGAATGGGTGACAGCTGTCACTTGTAAACACCAGATTAGGCATTTCTGCTGCAGGAAAACGCAAGTTCCTGATGCAGGAATTCCTAACTGCACCCAAAGACACAGGTGTGAATGTAGCCTAATACACTCCCCCATACACAAAAAAAACCTACCGCTGCACATATAAAATAATACCACTCCCCCCGTACGCGTACAAAATAAATAATTAATTAAAAACTACCCCTGGACATATAAAATGATACACTCCTCCCCCCCACACACACAAAAAAAGCTACCCCTGCACATATGAAAAAAAATACAGCCCCCCCCACATATAAAATAAAACCCCCTCCCCCTCACATATAAAATAAAAATAAAACACAGAACCCCCCTCTCCTGCATACCTTCAAGATCGTGTAGCTGCTCCTGCAAGTCAGGTATGCGTACCTGACTTGTCACCTGGCTGCGGGCCGGTACTTTGAGACCGCTGATATAAAAGATACACTCTCAAAACCCAGAGCACCATTACCACCAGCAGAAAGAGAATGGGAATCACATGAACTACAAATTGCTTATTTAGTAGAGTTTAGGGACATTGCATGTGAAATCATGTCTAACCTATAAGTGTACAGAAAGTGTAAAAGTACAAATGTGCTTCTCTTACCTTCCCTCAGCATGACTTTCTCATAGGAAGGAAACCTTGTACCGATTAGAGAAAGTGATGCCAGGTCTTCACGGCTTTTTTTCACATTCTTCTTGGCTCCAGATCTTTGGCCTCGATTTTTCCAGAAGTCTGCCCTATCTCCAGCTGCAGTTCTCTGTGCATTCTGTACACTGGCCAGCTGATCAGCTCTAAAACATAAAACCATAGCTAGAAGTACACCATCAGACAAACACACATATAAATTTACCAGTACGTATTACATTTAAGTTGCATTATACACATTTTATGATTAGCGTCTATACTAGAATAGAAACACTCACAGTATGGCACAGCCAGGCCTGAAGAAGCTATGTGCCCAGGGAGGTAAATAGTGAAGGAGGCTTTGGCTATTATGGTGAGTTAAAGTGTATCTATACCCAAAACTTTGTTTTTGGCTTTGGGGAAAGTAGGGGAGGGTTCAAGTCCCCATTTGTTTTCTTTGCAGTGTCCCTTTGGAGAGATTTCACTTCTTTTCCTGTGATGGAGACACAAGAAGCCCAAAGTGAGGGAGATTCCCCTCCACTTGTCTCCGGAACAGTGTCTCCAATGGAAATTTACACATCATCTCCTGTTCTGGTGACAACTGTAAAATGTTGGCTCTCCCCATTAGTATTGGTCCTAGTGACAATGGTCAGCAGGACAAATAAAATGGATGAATCTACTTACAGTAAAAAAAAAAAAAAAATCTGACGTGGGTTCTAAGCCTTATTCATTCCATTAAAAACAAAAAAGAAACTTTGGCTTTTTAGATACACTTTAAGAAAGGAGCTGGGTGATTTGTTTTTATATTACACATGTAAAGAAGGGCTCTAATTTTCCCAATCTGTATACCTTTTTCTTTCTAGTAGCAACAACACCTCTGCATTTTGATGTGCAGGCAAATAAAAATTAGCATGTTTCCTGCTGTCATTCACAGAGCACTGAAGGCTTCACAGAAGGCAGCTGGACACCCTGGTGGGCCAGGAGCGGAGAGGGAGCAGTTTGGCTCTCCAGATGTGTCAGAGGTTAAAGAAAACTATGACGCTGTTACTGACAAAGGCATCATTAATTTCTACACTAGGTCAGCATCAGTGAGTGCTTAAATTGTAAACATTTTATGTATGCAACCTAGTGTTTCTTAATGACAATATCTCTTAAACCCTTTTCCAGTGGCAGGAGAAGGGCCCTGTAAGCAGACTGGGAGTCTGCTTACATCCGTAAAGCAGTCGACTGTTCGCTTTCCAGTGATTTCTACTGGGCTGTCCTAGGGCTCCTGTGGCCCTAGGATGGGCATGGTGAAAGCAAGCAGCAAATGTCTGTTCCCTGGTCCCTCCTCTATGGAATGAACCCAGAAGCAACCAGGATTTCGTCACTTCCTACTTCAGAGCCATCATTCCCTGGTTGCAGTAGCCAGGGATGAAGCTGATCAAGCACAATCTGTGCTTGACTAGACAGCTTCACTAGAGTGGCAAGGTAAAATTAAAAGAGTCTAACAGACCCCTAGTGTCTCCTAAAGAGAACCTTTCACCTCCAATGTGCCAACACTTCGAGGGTTTTCTGAAAAGAAAAAAAACTTTAAAAAAATAAGTTAAATAAAATAAAAAAAAACACCCAATTTTATTTTTTCAAAGTCCCCCTGTGTACATGCTTATACGAACGCAAACATGCATTGGGATTGCCAGAGCATGAAAATTGTTGCGTCACACATGTTGGGTATTGCCATGCACACCTGAGAACACTTTTTATGGTTAACTCTCAACTGATGACCTTTTAAAGGGTCATCTATGGAAAATTTTGTGTACCGTCGTTTTTTGGCATTATACGGCCACACACAATTTTAAAGCTTGCCATGTTTGGTTTCCATTTACTCAGTGCAATCTCTTTTACATTTGACCCAAAAATTGGGTATTATATTGAGTTTATCGAAAACTTTTTTTTTTTTTTTAAACAGAATGCCACTATTATTCTAATTATGTAGAAACAAGGAGATTGTCCTGTCAGGGAAGATGGCTGCAAGTTCTACACCTGAGCTTCCATATTCACCTATCTGCCTCAGCCAATACAAGAAACATTTCCCTTTCATCTAGAGAATATAGCTTTAGTTACATTTTTGGGTTACCTCTATAAAAATCAAACAAAATATGGTAATGCAACATTACTGAAATAAAATAATCAGTAGAAAGCATACAAAAAGAAGTAAACTTAAAAACGTATAAAACAACGACATTTTATAGCCCAAATGACTGTACATAGAAATGAACAACACCTCATACAACATTAAAAGGACAGATCAAAGTACCTGCTTTTGCTTGGAATAAGTCCCTTCTCCAGTTCATCGGCAATCCTTACAGACAGCCAGCTGCCTAGCTTCCCATCGTATAGTGTATCCACCACTCTGAAAATCTCGCCTCTTGTGAATGCTAAAAATTGCTGAGCCTCCTTCTCATACTCAAAATGAGTCCTTATGAAGAACGAATCTCCTCGGCCACAGGCAAGTATGTTTTTGTAGACTAGAAACAAAAGATGAAAGCTATATCAAAGAAAATCCTCTGAGAATCAATGTAGTGCCAGAGTGCTTTTGTTCAAGGTCCAAAGAAACAAAGGACTTCGGCTTGTTCGGTATTTGAAGGACATGTAATTATACTGGCACAGTTTTTGTACAAAAGGTTCTTGTATATCTCTCACTAGTTAAGACTGCAGCTTTGGGAAAATACAAAGATTCAGAAAATTGCTTTACTGAAAGCATTGCTCCTCAATTTAACTTGAGTTGTAAATGATCTTCGTCTGGCAGATTAGGCAAGACTTTCAGAATGCTCTCCTTTCGGTAGGTACTGTGAAGTGCAACTTACCTCCTAAGCCATGGTTCTGGGCACATTAAAAAGGTTTGTCCTAGCTTTACTTTTTCACTTGCTACTCAGGTGTCAGGTTGAAGCAGAAGGATTTAAAGGACATATACCTGGAGTTTGCCGTTATATAGGGGCCGTTCCTTGGTGTTCATACCATAGAAGCAGACGATTTGTTCAAAAATGAAAGTTGATAAATATTTAAAGTAAATTTAAGAAAAAAAAAAACTCTTAACAGGGTTATTCACAAAAGGGTGAAGGCAGGAGAAGTGAACAATCTAGGACAACATAGCTGAACTGGAAAGTGAGCTGAATTGAAATCATGAAAATCATCTATTTTGGCCCAGATTGTTCACTTCTCCTGCCTTCTCCAAACTCTTCACCCTTTTGTGAATAACCCTGTGCGTCAACATTGATTCAGCCTTTAAATACAAAATATAAAAGTAACGATTGCCAAGAAATGTCAGTATATACAAAGTCTGGCAGCTAATGGTGAGTAAATAACGATGGTACAGACCGCGCTTCTACCGATAACCAATAAAGTACACAAGAGAAAGGAAAAGGTAAAATATAATCACTATCACTTCAGAATGAGGTTTACTTATAATAGAATGCCTACATTTCTCCCTCTGTGTTTTTTTTTTCTATTTCTTGAACTAGATACCGGGAGTCTCATGTATACAAAATATCACAGGGCACCAGACACTAATGTTCCCAAAGTTGGAGCTTTTCAGAAAAGCCTTGCTGACAACTTAAACCTCATATGCCACTTTAAACTTGATGAACATTTATTAAGTATGAATAAAGGAAGAGGCCGCACATTCCCTCCATTCACACATAAGATCAATTACCATCATATTTGCTCTGAGTTAAAATGGTAACTTCTTCTCCTTTTGGTATTTCCAACAGATACAAAACGGCATCTTCTCTGACAATACATCGGAAGTCTTGTGTGTTGACCTAAAAATTATACAGGATAACAACATGGAAAAGATAAGATGTTTTTGTCCCGTCATCTGCCTTTCATAAAAAGTGCACATAAATCTAGAGCTATTAGTATCAAGAGCATTTTAAATCTTCTTGCCTATCATATGTATACATAAAAGTTGTTCAGCGCTTTATAAATCATTAATAAAAACGCCTTAACATGGTCACTGAGCAGCCTTTGAATACCATTATTCTAAACATTAAAAAATAATTTTTTTATTTTAAAATCAGTTTTGAATAAAAATTTGATTCTGCAAATAACAAAACACATTCCCCCTAATGTCTTGAGCATCACCAACGAAGATGGATTGCTGAAAGCTCTATAAAGTGTGCTTGGGCATTATAAAAACACATTTGGTTATCTGGGGACTGAACTAATCGAGCACAAGTCTTTGAAAACTACACTAATAAACCTCAACTTTCTGCACTTAAAGATGAACCTCAGGAAAAAAACAAATTTTAGATATTTGCCTTGTAAAAATCAAATCACCGCTAATGATTGTCCCATGTGGATGGGGGGTGGGGGGGCAGGGGCTTGGGAGAAGCTGCTGCATTATCTAAAACTCTTTGTTTCATTCAACCTGTCACTACTGAAGTTCAGCTTTAACAAAATAGTTTATATTAAAATAATTTGTATTGTTTTTACATCTTCTTAATCAGTTATAATGGGGGCAGTAATTGAAGTCCAATGCCACCCAATACTTCACTGGTTTTGGATAGTATGGGTAAGCTTAGAACCTAGATCAGGTTTTTACTGCCATCTCTGTCCCTGCGTGGGAGATTTTCTCCATAATTCCATTCTCTAAGCACACCCAAAGGCTATTTTCCCATGCTATTTAGAATGGGACTGGAGGTAGAAATATGCTCAATAGGGACATCGACAGCAATGAACACCTGAAAGAGGTTGTAATCCTTCCCAACTCTATTCAAAATTTTACAAAAAAGTTTTGGCTAGAGCTGGGATTTAGCAGCTATGACAATCAAGTTGAGAAAAGACTAAAGGAACCCAAGGACCTCTATGCAGAATGTACATCTCTACCTTACCCAGATGTAAAATGTAAAGGGTTACCTTAAGCAGCTGATCACCCTCTTGCAGGCCTTCCTGCTCAGCAGCACTTCCTTCCTGAACGCCAGCGATAAATATACCAACATCATTACCACCAGCAAGTCGCATGCCCACGCTGTCCCCTTTTCGAAACTGAATCATTCTTGTATTAGGCCTTAGGGTTAGAGAAAACTGACTTTAGTGTTTGCCGGTTGACTATAAATTATTTAAAGGGCTTGATATTGTGAAAGAGTTAGTGGCTAAAGCTTACATCTAAAGAGATGTATGTATTCATTAAAAACTATTTTTTTTAGTGCAAAATTCCTTCTACGGTATTAGGCAAGATAGAGAGGGAGGGGCAGAACTGGGAGCCAATCAGGCTTTGCTGCATGCGACTGTGCTCATAAGGGCAACTCAGGAGCATAAGCTTATCAGTCTGCTGCTACAACTTCACTGACAAATCAGAAGGCGGGGGGTTGACTAAGCACTATTAAATAAGCACTGCTAAGGAAAGTCATGTCACCAAACTGGCTGTATTGTCTGACAGGGCTGTGTAAAGCTGGCCATACACCTATAGATTTTCTATGGTCAGATGGAAAAAGTGCAACACATTCCTCAGTCTACGCTAAACTGTGTGGATGGAAGAATCTGCCACTGGGCCAAGCTTGGCACCCATGTGAAGTTGTACACGTGAATGGCAAGTTTAAAGACACAATTTCTTTCATCAAATGATGACGAGTCTACTAATAATGTTCAAAAACACACCCATAGATCTCCAAATCTTCAGGACTTGGCTGCAGAAACTGCTTTCGGACCACGACAGGCTTCTCTACTGTATGAATCAGAAAAACATGGATTTTTATTTATAGGATTCAATCAGCAGTCAGCAATATTTTAAATACTTTTGTGAAAAATGTCCTGCCACTAACGGCTTTATTGTAGTGGGATACCATTCTGCTAAGCATTGCTCCAGAGTTAGGGAATATTTGAGAAATGCTCAGAAAAAAAAAAAAAAAAAAGTCTCGGTGCCTACAGTAGAAAACCAGATTAAGACTGAATTGCATTACCAAAAGAACAATACAGACATTGGATACAATCTCATATGACTTATTAAAATGGATCCATTAAAACTTCCCATGCTATAGTATCATTTCAAATGCTGCATAAAGAAAAGGAGTATACAAGCAAAATATAGGATCATGGAAAGAAATATTTTTCCAAGTCAAGGTAAAGAAGCAAATTCAAAGTAATGATATTTTATTGATATTTCTGCCGGACAAATCTCAGTCTTGGTGCCGACGTTGGCAGTTTATATAATGGAAGCTGCATATTACTAAAGCATCCAAGTTGATTTAGTTATTCATGAAGTTTATTCTGATTCACCAAGAAAGATTGTGATGGCATGTCACTAAGAAACATTAAAGCAGAACTACAATCTCCTATCCCTTAAAGCCATGAAAGGTACCAATTTAGCCTCTATTTGAATTGCAGTTGCCATGGTGCTGCACATGTGATCAACTATGACACCAACCATTTGAGAGCAGAAATAGGAAACCTTGACTTAAAAGTAATGGTTTTAGGAGACATTAAGTTTGTGGGTAAAGTTCCTCTTTAATGTAACCTTAATGGAAGAAACACAAATAAACAGATTGTGTTGCTGACCTGGAATGTCTTCCGAGTACACTGGCTCTGGTGTGGTCTCTGGAACCACTGGGCTTACACTAACAGGAGCAGGGCTCACAGATCTGTTCATCACTTTAAAAGGAGTGGGCATAGCTCCCATCTTGGCCAGTCTGTTGGGTGGATCCTCTTTAGAGCTGAAAGAAAACATTAAAAAAAAAAAAAAAAAAAAAAGGACAGAACTGTTATGGCAACTTTTATTATAGCAGACATTTCTACCTTGTGGCAGTCCTTTGTCATGACTTGGCGCTGAAAGAATGACATTACTTACGTCGCTTTTAGCTTTTCATTAGAGGAATGAGAGTCGGAGTGGTGCAATCCCACATCCTCCAGGGGGGAGCCGGAACGATTGGACTCGATCTCAGAAATATCTGTTAACATAATAAACAAAAAATGCTTTTGTACTTTATATATACACCAAGAGATATATATATATATATATATCCCCCATCTTGACAAACTAGAACAGACTTTGGAGTCATGCCAGATAAGGTAATAATTTTCCCTAATGGATTTGCTTTCTCACCGGCCTGGAAGGCTGTGGAATCATATGCGAGCAAGCAGCATGGAAGCGACACCTTGCAGGTCCCAGCAAACAAGGGAGCGACTTTGTTGGAAGAACTAAGTCTCTTAGAGGTCTTGGATATGATCCTTAAAATACAACACATGGATGGAATATGCAGTACACCCTATTGTCCCTTTCACCTAATATCTACTGGAAGTTAAGAAAGTTTTCTGTACAGCCATCCTTTGAAGAAAACCCTACATGGACATAATATCCTCAGCTAGTCCATACCAAAGTAAAAAACTACAACTGATCCTTAAAGGAGAACTATGGGGTTAAGTCTTTTCCCCATAGTTCTCCTTAGGGTAACGGGAGGACACAAACTAGCGTCCTCCCGTCACCCTAGGCTCAGTATAGCGCAAGCTGTAGCTGTACCACGAGATGCCACAATTGTGCCGGGATCCGCCCAGCTGCGTGACTGACAGCTGGCTCTGCCTATCTAAAGAGAGCCGTGACAGGATTGAGAGGTGAGCGAGCGCCGGTATGTGTTCGCTCACTTCCCGATCTACTGAGCCGACCTGTGACAGTCTCATTGCCACAGGTCGCTAGAACTATGAGGTGAGTGAAAATCATTGATGGGTTAATTGTGGTTTACCATTACGAATACCACCAGTGGCAAAAAATGCATGGAAAAAAAAACCAAAAACATTTAAGAAAACTAATATCGTTTTCAAATAATTCATTGAAATAATTAGATTCCAAAAAATAAAAAACAGGACCCACCTCCTATGTCGGAGTCACTGTCATGTACAGAAGGAATGTTAATCAGAGTTTGTAGGACATCTCTCTGCACAACCAGCTGCAGTTTCCCTCTAGACTTCTCAATCAGCTTCCGTGCATCACCTAAGGACATGTTTTCCGTCACAGTGCCATTGATCTGCAGTAAAAAATAAATCAGCCGATGACGCCAGTGACAGCAGCAATGCCAAAGTATCATTTCACCTACAAGATCTAACGCTGAGTGGCCAAATATTGCCAGATTTAAACGTAACCTGTGATATCTTGGATAGAATTGACTAATGAGAGGGATATCTTAGGGGTGAAATGAACAGGGTAAATTTGGGGAGGGTGGACTTTGTTCAGTGGTGTGATTCAAAATGTAATGCTTTGTCTCAGTTTTCTTGTGTAGGTCAAGATGTGGACATGGCCACCTAAGCATAAAGAAGGTGCTACATGTGTGAAATACCTCTACTCTCTGCAGGTGGCAGAATCCACCATTACTAACCGTTCACGTTGCAAGGTTTGAAACTACAATATACCTGTCCGCACAACAGCAGCAGCCCTTAAAAAAGGGAAAATGGATTTCCACACTGTCACATATATTCTAGCTTCCCATGTAACACACTCATAATAATCTGACCCTGAAATATTTGTTTTCATTAAATTTAGGAATGCACAGATACCAGTATCGGTGCCGATGCAGAGTACTCTTACTCGCCCAAATGCTCCGATGCCCAGCCCAATACTTGAGCTTCCGGGATCAGGAAGCCGGGCAGCAAGTCATTACACGCTACACAGCTTCCTGATTGGCCGGGAAGCCGGCTCCATGCTACCTCGTCACGTGTAAGGACTTGCTGCCTGGCTTCCTGATTGGCCCAGGAAGCTGCCTCCATGCTACCTTGTCACTTGTAATGACTCGCTGTCCTGCTTCCTGATTGGCCAGCTTCCCGGCCAATCGGAAAGACGGCGCCATTGGACAGAAAGCCGGCTCCCTGCTTCCTCGTCACCAGGTGATGAGGAAGCATGGGGACAGCTTCCCTGCTAAATCAGGAAGCCAGGTGGCGTGTTTTTACACGCTGCCCGGTTTCTCGGCTAATCAGGAAGCCAGGTAGCGAGTCATTACACACCACCTGGCTTCCTGATCCATTTCCGGGCCACAATACGTCATGCGATGGCTGTTAATGTACAATCGATACAACGTCTATACAGACACCGAATCATTCGTACCATGCGGCGAGTACCGAAAAAAATAATAATTGGTACTCGAGACTGAAAAACCGGAATCGGTGCATCCCTAATAAAATTATGAAGCTCCGGAAAAAGGTACAATTTCCAGTATTATAGTAGTGTACCTTTCACAAAATTTCCAGAACTACAATACTAGAGGGAACGAAGCAATAATTCCTCGCTTGAAAATAGAGCATGTACAGTATATTGAGGTTCTGAGGAAAGGGGTTTAACCTCTGAAACGCGTCAACCGAAGGAAGATCAGTGTCTAGATGGCCTTGGCTTAAACACTTATTCTTTTGATTTCTGCGCTTCGTTCTTTCGTTTGTCCATCTTGATCCACTTGAGACCGTTTTTTTCAATGCTTGTTTTTTTTACAGTTGTTTGCAAGTACATTTCCAGCTGTATTTTACTTTTATTAAATCTGTTTTACACTATGGAGGCGCTCCTTTTACTCGGTTTTCCTAGATAACCGGTTTGCCCTGACTGAGGCGCTGCCCCTGAGTGTTTGAAGCTGGGTTCGAGATTTGTCATGTTTTTTTTTTTGGCGCCAGTGATTTTTCATGTGCAGTATATGTCTACCTATAATGATTTTATCTCATTCAGTTGCAGCTTTACACAATAATTATAATGTAGTAAATGGTCTTATACAGACTAATCACCTCTGTCTGAAATGGAATTTAAAAAATCAAAACGTCATCACAGATAACTAATAATATAAGGCAATTACTCACTTTAAGAACAATGTCTCCTTCAGTCAAGTTTCCATCTCTGGTTGCTAAACCAGCGTCTGTCATTTCCTTAATGAATATCTGGCTGCCAAGGCGCAAACCATATTCTGAAAGAAATAAAAAAGGTGTACATACAAATATAGATACTTAGATTACAAGCATATTTATTAAAAAAAGTCAATATCTAGGGCTTTTAAAAGAGGGTTTCCACAAAGTAGTCTCCCTCAACAGAAGTGTTATATGAAGTGGCAGACCGTGTCACCTCTCCTGAAGCTACTGCCAACATGCCTAAAAACCCCCGAACTCAGGTCACATTTTTGTGTTGAGAGAGAGAAGAAATAGAACGCTGTGTCAGCTTCAGACACCAGCCGAGATCTAGATATGATCTGTAAGCATCTCAAGAGAATAAAGCCAACGTTTGAGGCCCAATGGAGAGGGTTTTAAGTGGATATATGACTGGAATTCTCTCTCCCATTAAAAAGGGCATTCCACTTAATATCCTGTAGTGAAAATACCCTTCTGCAATATGCAGTGCAGAAATCATCATTCATGGCTCCTGGCAGTGAAGACACTAAATCAAACAAATATATAAAAGCGGGTACCTCTGTTCTTTTTCCATTGTACTTGCAGAATTATGAAGCAATGTTTACACTAGTTTGGGCTTGCAAGGACAAGCGCTCAAGGCACAAAAAGAGAAAATGTAAATGGAAGGAGGTTAGTTGCAAATCGTTCTGTTGTCTTTGGAACTTATGTGTTGTAAAAGTATAGTTGTCTTTTTGGGCTGGGTTCATATGTTTGCAATACACCATACTGCATTTTAGCACAACACACAGATGTGAACCAGCGGTGTTTTGCGTGCACTGAAAAAAGTGCAGCTGCATATTTAGGTCTGTAGTGGTGCACTGGCAACCCATTAAAATGAACAAAGTAGTTTTACAGTTAATCATTAACACACAACATAGTGCACACTGACATGCATGTGCCAATGTACACCAAATATGTAAAAAACATTGCCATAAGAGTTATTCGAAAAATAAAAAAAATGAATTTCGCTTAAACTGGCAGCTGTGTGATCATACAATCCTATCAAAAGTAATAGAATGGCTACAATATATCTGTAGTAAAAGCAATCCATATAGCATTTGACAAGAAACTGATTCAGCATTTCCCACTTTAAAAATGCTATCAATGCACTTCTTTAATGCAGGTCTCCTGGAGATGAGCGGATTCACCATTATTATTAATTAAAAGGAGGTAAATTTGTTAAGCTCTGAAAAATCAGATTTTATGACTTTAGTGTAGCTATAAATAAATCACAAATCAGATGACTTTATGACTAGTGTAGCTATAAATTAAACCACAATATATTGCAGTTCAAAATCAGATGATTTTAGGGCTTTAGTGTAGCTATAAAATTAAATCACAATATATTGCCTCACGAATCAGATGATTTTAGGACTTGTGGTGCAGCTATAAATTAAATCACAATATATTTCAGCACAAATAAATTGTTATTGAAACGTAAAGCATTTGCAGATGTATTGATGAAGAAATTGAAGTATTTACCTTCTTTCTGTTTCTTTTTGGCAAGGAGTACACTGATGGGCTTTTCTTGACCCTTTTTTACTTGTCGGTGTGGTTCAGGTGAAGGACTGTGGGACTGAAGTCTATCACGACTGCGGTGAAGAAGCTCTTTTTCATTTCTGTGGTCTGTTTGGGATTTCTGTATACTTCCTCTTTCTGGGCTATAGTCCCCACTGTAGCTACGTTCAAAGGATTCTTCTCTGTCCACGCTTTTCCCCCTATCCCTCCTATACCTGCGTTCTTCACTTAAGTCCCGATCAATGCTTCTACCCCGGCTGCGTTCTGCTCTGTGACCATGGTCATCATCTAGATCTCGTTCTTTACTCCTTCCCCGGCCATAATCTGGATCCTTATCATAAGCGCGGCCTCTATCCTGATCTCTTCCATATCCTCTGTCTGGACTGGATTCCCTGCTGCGACGGCCACTTCCACTTTGCCAGACCTCGCTGTAAGCGCTATATGCGCTTCTGCGATCAAAATGTCCATCATCATCAAGGGCGTCGAGAGCTCGAAGGTCAGGCTCAGGAGAAGGGGTCCGCCTTGATGCTGCAATTTGAACTTTCCGAGGTCTTTTCACCACCTATTTAGCAAGGCCAGGAGATGGTCGAGAACATGATAAAACTAGACCAAGCAAACCAATAAAGAAAATAGCATTCTCAAAGCTGTCCGTCATCTTTCTCTAAAAGCAGCTGCTGCATTTGAGTCAAATTACTTCCTTGTTCTTAAACAATTAGGATGGAATTTGTTTATTAAGGACATGCCACCAAAAACCTTTTTTTCTAAGACTCCTACAAGCAGCATACAATGTTTGGAGTTTTCTTACATGGCACAAATGGCTGCCTTTCCTTATCTACAGTAACTGCAATAGTTATTGTAATCCTGTAACATGTCCTTGTGAATTAACCTATGCAACCACACACAATAAAACCCTTCTGTGCAATGAACCATTTCATTACTCAAGAGGAAAAGTTATGACAGTACCTGACTATTTTACAAGGAAGGGCATATCTTGTAGTCACAAAGAACATTTTGATGCCTCAGTATAAATTTAAAAAAAACAGATCTCAAAGAATTAAAAACACAGCGCCCTTATGAATGCCTGGTGTTTATCACCACAAATTAAGAGTATTTACCCTCCCTCCCATTATACCATAGATACATTTCTACGTAATATGAAGATTTTTATCCATGTCTACCTAGTTATTCAGATTTGCCCTTCTTTACTATACAGCTACTCACTCAAGGCCAAAAATCATGGCAGCTACTCACCCAAGGGCAAAAAAGAGGCACCAGTAATGGCTAAATGGCTTTTCCACTGAGTTACCAGTACTGGTCATTTAAAGTGTATGCAACAGCATCTTTTAGGGTTGCATAGAGTAGGGATGGGTTTGAGCATCTGTCAGGTTTTTAGCCGTTTGGAATTCTGTTTACTGTGAAGAGATGGTCTCCTACTTCCTGCATCTCCAGGACAGGAAGTGCAGGAACATTTGTACCATGAGATGCAGCAAAAATAAACCTACTATGTCTAAAAGAAGGAAAAAAAAAAAAAAAAAGTGGTTGGCTTTGCATACTCTTTAAGACAACATTAATACCTGACATTATTGAATCAGGGGGCTTCTATCCAATTTTTAAAGTGTACAAGACACAAACTGTACATCAGCACAAACAAAAACGTGTGCATCACACCATCAAATCAAACAGGAAACAAAAGTATTTTGTATACTCACAATAACAGCGGTTTTCCCACATTTTCTTAACTGCTGTACTGCAAATGAATGGGGCACATTATCCAAAGATGTTCCATTGACCGTAAGCACACGATCATTCTCCCTGTAAAAAAGATAATTAAAAGTAAGCAAAACCATAGAAGTTAAAAAAGAAGAAGACGAACGAACTGACTTAATGGCCATATTTCACAAATACCCTGAACAGTCTTGTATCCAATAAAACTCCATAACTTCTAGGTACAAATAAGGTCATATAAACATTGTGAAGATGAACACAGAACATGTATTCTATGTACCCCTTTTACAAACTGCCTAAGGGCTTGTTCACACCAAATGCAGAGCAGATCCGGCCAGGTTTATGCACACGCACGATGCGTTTTTGACGCGTTTTTTTTCAGGAAGGTAACAATGTTATAAGGTCATTTCCATTGTGCTGCTGAGTGAATACATATTGCTGAGGGAATACATATGGCATATAATATAATACCTGTTGCTGAGGGAATACATATGGCATATAATATCACAGACAGCCACACAAGCTGCATGAAAAGCAGCTGCAGGTGTCAGTGAGCAAACAGGCAGTGTGATAAGGAGGAGTGGTGGGGGGAAGGGGGGTGGATGGAATACTGCATTTGAAGAACTACTAGTATACAATGCCATTCACATTGAAGTACTCACCACAGCTCTCCTTATCTGTCAAGGACATATCCTTATATCCTGGGAAAACTCTCCCTATCAAACTCCACTGGTCAGCCTTCTTGCTATTGTTCTTATATTGAAAGTGTCTGCTGTCATATAGCTCAGGGCACTGTTGAACCATACTTATGAATCTCTCTGGGTCACAAAACTGGTCCACCATGTTTCCTTTGCTCTCCAGCTCACCTTTTCCAAAAACAGGAAGTGACTAAGGAAGATTAGGTCATGACAGATGACCATAGAGGTTTTTTTTCTTTATAGTAATTTTTTTCCATTGAATTGCATTGGGTTGCACTGCGTTGCGTTTTTGATGCGTTCCAGAGCAGGTAAAAATAGGGCTTGCTGCAGTTTTTTTTACCTGCTCTGGATCTGCATGCTGCAATGTGAACTGGAGCTAAAAATACCATAGGAATACATTGGAGGCAGTTTTGATCCGGTCTGCACCTGCTCTGCTCTGGATCTGCTCCGCGCTTGGTGTAAACTAGCCCTAAATGACTCCAATTGTAAACTCAAGAAGAAAGTAAAAGGCAAGAATGTAAAGAAAAAAGTTAAAGTACCGAGACTACCCTCTCTCCTCTTCATTGTTGAATGTCATCATCTTTATCTTTTCGTGGACTAACTCCCCAACATCCTCCTCCCTCCAGGTCCCTGAGTGTTTGATATGAAATGATAACCCTTGTTCGCCAGCCAGTATAATGATTGCAATGGGGAGTGGGGGATTGGTTAGTGCAACCACGTGATAATGCTGACCAATGTGAATCTCTTCTGAGCCGTCTTTCATCGGGACAGTGTCCCAGAAGAAAGAGGTCAACATGTGTCAGCAAGGTCATGCTGACCAATCAGCATTCCCTACTGCTATCATTAGGTTTCCATATAGCCCCTGGGGCTGTAGAGCATAATTTACAAGTTTCTAGACAGTTATACTGGTTGGAAAGGGTCTTACTGAACCTTTTCGCAGAAAAATGAAAAGGTGAACTAACAACTTTAAATTATTACTTACATAATCAAATCTTGATGTACCTCAACCATCGCTCCCACACCCTCACAAATTCTTCCTGTTTGTCAATGAAAATGCTTGCTAATTTTTCTTTGATCATTATGCAAGAAAGCTTTACTTTAGTGAAAGCTAGGTCTATAAAAGAAAGAAAAGAGAGAGACACCGAGACAGAAAGACAGAGAGAAAGAGAGACATATCAGGTCCAGCCCTCTGCTCAGTGGGCAGGTACATAAAGGCCGGCCTGCTATTGGCTATTGCAGTTTGAAATAGCCAATAGCAGGCTGGCTATTGCTCCCATTGTTTACATACTGCTGCCAACTGCAGAATCTACATCTAGAGTCTAGATGTAAACAAAGAATTTCTTTAGCAACTAAATACATTTAGTTGCCAAGAAATCTTTAAGTGTGCACCAAGCAACTGAGAATTTAGTGTGCATCAAACCACAGGCAAAAAAAAAAAAAAAAAG